GCAAAAATCCCAAGAGCTACATCTCAGACTCTACAGGCATTTAACTTTAAATATCAAAGTTCAGGTCAATGCAATAAGAAAGATACTAGAAAGAACAAGTATGTTTTATTTGGAAGGGTTTTTAGGAGAAAGCCTCTTCTCTCTAAAAAGAACAGGGCAGCACAACTTAGGTTTGCAAAGTTCTGCCTGGACAAACCACAACACTTGTCGAACAATGTCCTTTTGACAGACAAGACTGGAGTGGCGATATATGGCTATAATGCACAGGGGTGGGGTTTGGGGGTGGTGCACACTAGAGACCTGTTCAAGGTGTATCCTGCCTCTTACCCTATGGTAGTTTAGTTGAGCTTATATGATTCAGATAAGCAGTGGGTGGTTGTAGCTCAGGGGTTGAGCAGGTTATTGGGCCAAAATCCTCCTCAACAATGTGTGACACTAATAAAGCCACACAGAAAGCCATTATTTCAAATTATTGCTGCTACAGGCGACAGAGAGAGAGAGAGAATCTGCATAGTGTTTGTTAAGTAAATAATGACGTGTCATGTGTCATGTGTCCTTAGTTACCTCGGGTTGTAATTTAAGACCAGGTAAATACAAAATTATGCCTTGATATGTAAAATCTTCAAAGTGAAAGAGGGTGTGCTTTCAACATCAGTGTGACTGGTTGCATCTTTCCAGGACAGAAATCATATCAAACAAAAGAAAGGTGAAGAACCTCCAAATAAATACAGCATGTGTAGATGTTTTAACAGCTCTTGTCCGTTCTTTTCCATAACTACTGGATCTATTGTGAATTTCTCAACATTTACCATAAAGCCCAGTCTCAATACAAATGTGGCATTAAAGGCTTCATATAGAAAAAATCTTTCCTTATTGGACTGTGATCTCCACCTGTAATGTAGGTCATCTGCTGATAACAAGTGTGTTCGCTCTGTGTGCAATTTTGAAGTATGAGCAACATGCACGTTAACCATTAAGCAATAAAGAGCCGTGTGTTGTGCCGCCACCTCTTGTAAACTATCTTGAGGTCCCTCCATTGGAGAAAGTTGCAGGAACGTGGCTGACGAGCCAACACTAGCATCATCATGTCCCGGATCACCTTCTTTTTCTCCCGGTCTGTTAATGGCGTGAACCATTTCTGCAGTCGCAGCTTCCCCTGGCGACTGAACAGCAACAGAAAGCGCATCTGAAGGTAAAGCGGATGGAAGAGCAGAAAACATTGACTTCGGTTTAGTCATTTTCAGCCCTGCAAACACATTGCTTGTAGCTAAAAAAGTGGTTAATGTGTAGCTTTTCAGAGAAACACAAACATAGAGTGAAGCAGTGAACGGTAATACCTGCCTTTGCATGTGGCTGTGCCAAACCGCAATTACATTTCCCAACTAGACATGTGTAAAGATCACTAGGGAGACATAACATCTCTAAATCACCTTTGAGTGCAATAACACAGTAAATATAGTGGTTGTGTTGTGCAACAGCAATTAATGAAAGCTCTTCGCCCCGGGGTGAAGCTGCACAAAGCATTGCTTCTACCTGCAACAAGGTGACTATGAGAACATGTGGAGTAAAAATAGCCATGTGTGGAACAATACTTGCTGAATCAGACACTTTTTAACCCTGATGCAATGATTTTCTATGCTGTGTAAATACCAAAGAAACTCAAGCACCACAGATTTGCATTCATTTACTTGTCTGACTGGATCTGGGCTTTACCCAAAGTCTAGTTATCCTAACATGAGGAGGAGAGGGCTCACACAATTTTTTCTCCTCTAATTTCCACTTCTTAAAAACGTTTGGGCCATGCCTACCGATTTCATGACCTCTGAACGAGGAAGTTCTTGCTATTAACTGATTATACAGCTATAATATACAAATCCAAATAACCTACAATCTGCTGATCTCAGGTTTAAAAAAAAA